ACAAATTGTCCTAATGATATGCAACCCAAATGGACCATGCTACTCTCGGGTCAAGTACATACCAATAATAGTTATAGGCTTAGACATCTAATCCAACAATACGTACCAACAACAACATCGGCCTTCCCTGACCGGACATCAGTAACACGCAAAGCATCAGGAGTGGTAGTCTGGGCGGATCCCTGGGTAAGCTGAGGACACTCGGCCTTCCGATGGCCTGTCTGGTTGCAGTGAAAGCAAACAGAAAATCCCTTGGGGCAGTCCCTCGCCATATGCCCCTCCTTGTCGCATTTGTAGCAAATCCATGCCCGACAAGATCCCTCGTGGGTCTTGCCGCACTTGCTTCAAGTGCGGCCCTTCTGGCCTCCAGCTCTCGAATCAGCGGGCTTAGCCCGCTTAGCCGCCGGCTGCGACTGTGTCAGTCTTCTATCTCTCCCCTGATGCTCACCCTCCTCTCTGGTCTGAATCTCCAACTCAATCTCCCTCCTCCTGGCATTGGTCTGCAACTCATCCAACATCCGATAAGATGAGTTCACCACGAACTCCCGAATATCCCTCCTCAAGATGCTAAAATACCGACTCATACGTGCCTGCTCCGTGGACACGTGCTCAGGGCAGAACATCGCCCTCTCATGAAACATCCTGGTAATCTCAGTCACCGACTCTGTCTTCTGCTTGAGAGACAGATTCTCCTGTGCCAAACATTCCCTCTCCACCTAGGGAACATACTAATCTCGAAACACTTGGTGAACCTCTCCCAGGTCATCGCAGCATGATCTGCAGGGGTAAAATCAGTCGTCACAAACGTCCACCAGTCCTTCGCTCCCAAGCGAAGCTGGTTCAGTGCGAACCGGACTCTCAAATGCTCTGGACATGAACACGTATAAAATCATCCCTCAATGCCAGTGATCCATCTCATGGAAGCAATCAGATGTTGTATCCCATCAAACTCTGGTGGCTTCATGTTGCTGAACTCCCTGAACAACAACGAGTTACCTCCCTGTGGTCTCGAAGCAGCTAGGGCTGCGGTGGCTGCGACAGAAGCAACCTCAGTAACAGCCGCATAGCGCTCATCGAAAGTATCAATAAACGTGGTCTTAATAGACCCAAACATCTCCGGTATCGCCTCTCGGATAGTTGCGCCCACCTTAGCATGGATGATCCTGCGGATCTCCTCGTCACTGGTAGCACTGGTGCTCCCTGGGTTGTGGCGTGTACCCACCATGATGTCTCTGAAACACAGCACAAAAATAATCAGAAACTCATTCGAGCACACTCACACTCGAATTCCCGTCCCTACACGCTCCTTAGTATCCTAAGGATTCTTACTTGGGTTGCATACAGATCCGGTGCTTTCAGTAGTACGGGCCCAATACCACCTTCCACACCAACCTGTAGTCATCCCAAGTCCTTCTCCTAGGATTCTAATTCACAAGTACTCTATCTCTCACAAATATCAAACTACTCTCTCAATAGGCTAATCGTATGCTCATCTAGGTATCTCTCCTAGATTACCCTTTGACTCAGAACTCAAAACATACTCAGGGAAAATAACATATAACACTGATCAATAGCATCTCCTAGGCTAAGGCATCACAAATCAGGAAACTCTAGCCCTAGAATATGAAATTCCTAACCTATTATATATCATGCATTTCTAATATCTCATGAACATCTCATAAATATCTCATATAGTAAACAACTAAGGGTATTTTGGGAAACCACCGTTCGGGCTCTGGCTGATTATACACACTGCTCCTTCTCGTTTTTCTCTTAGAAACTCCTACTCGGTTTTAGAAAAATCATTTCTTTTGAAATTTTTTTCTCAAATCCTTAGTTTGAGTCCAGACATACCCGAAGGTGCATCCGAATCCCTCAAACCAAGGCTCTGATACCAACTTGTAACACCGTAAAATTTCAAACCAAAATTTTCATTTTTAAAAGCACATAAAACTCATATATTGTATTTCATAAAACCACAAGTGTGTATAATCATACCGGTGCCTTCCCGCGGTCTTGAGAGGTACCTGAAACACATAACACATAACACGGTAAGCACAAAGCTTAGTGAGTTCCCCAAAATACCACATACACAAATAATAAGCCTCTCATGGCTATAACTCGACATGGACCCTCCAGTCTCATGCGTCTCGGTGTGGACCCTCCGGTCATGTGTCTAAGTGAGGACCCTCCGGTCTCACAACTTGGTTTGGACCCTCGAGTCCAGTATCTAAGTGAAGACCCTCCGGTCCCACAACTCGGTTTGGACCCTCCGGTCCTATCTCAGTAAACACAGAATATAACATATATATCACACATACAAGATGTATAATATCATATAAATCAAGTAAGCACATAGGACCCTCCGGTCGCACAAAGATACCCCTCATGGTAAGTATAGTGAGAAGACTAACCTCGTAAGAAATCGGATAACCTCAAACTCAAATCACCGGTCTAGCCTCTGCCTAACACATACGATAATTATCTCTAATTAATAAAGGTTCTCAAAGAAGCTAGACTAACCCTTCTACAAACTCACAGAAGGATAAAAGACTATTTTACCCTTCCATGGCCTTAATAGTCCACAAATTGACCAAACCCTAAAAGTCAACTAAAAGTCAACGGCAGCGCGTACGCGGCGTGTACCAGCCCTCTACGCTGGGCGTACTCCTTCGTCATGCATGCATCGGGGTTTCTTGACCCTACGCTGCGCGTACTGGGATTACGCTCGGCGTACGCCCCAGTTTTGCTCTTCCCACTCATTTGGTCTTAATCTGTTAAGACCTTAGCTCAAATCTCAGATCTGGACTCCCTAAAGGCTCTTATTCCATAAAGTCTGTGACTTTATGCCTTTTCATGGCTGATAAAGTCACAAACACCAAAACTCTCACTTTCTAAACTCAAAAATGCTCATATCTCATGCATGATTTGGTTTAAACGTCTAAGTCTCCATTTTTATTACTCTACACCACCAAGAACACTCAAAGGAGCTGATAATAAGCTCTGGAGCTCAATATCTCATAAAGCATCTAACGTTGGGACCAAAACCCTAATATGAACTAAAATGATGCACAAATAAAAAGGATGAGAACGCTTTGAGCTTTATACCTCTAACTGAAGCTCCAACCACAGATAAGCTCAGATCCAAAGCTTGGACTCCCAATTCCTTGTTCTCCAAGGCTCCTTCTTCACTCCAAGGAAACACAAGAACACTTAATAGCTCACAAATGGACACACAAGCTCCAAAGACGAGAAATTAGGGTTTGAGAGGGTTGATGACTGGAAATGGTGGCCAGAAATGAGGCCATCATGTCCTTTAAATAGGGACTCACCCTAAATTAGGGTTTTTCACTCTGGGCCTAGTACACCCAGCGTACTAAGTGGCTTCCGCATAAAAAACACGCACATGAGTACGCTAAGCGTACACTCACGTACGCCCCGCGTACTCATTGACCACCTTTTCTCAAATATGGGCCAAACTTGACAACTATCAAAAGAACAAGGGTTTATAAGGTATACCTGATCTTGGGGATGTTACACAAGAAGTCATTTTTAACGCTTATTATCTTTAAATTGAATAACCCGAATATGCGGGCGTTACAATGAATAATAGAGCTTTAGTTAAATCTGACTAATAGAACAAACATGAACAATTTTAGGCAATGAAGGATAAAACACCTTCTGAGGTCATGAGATTGATAATAACATTCTATTATGAACAAAAGTCCACTGATAATGCTCTTATTGGGTCTCTAGGAGACGTTTTAGGATATTTTGAAAAAGAAAAGAAACATCTTGGTACGTTTATTTCTTTTTTAAATAATGTAATGTTTTAATATGTATTTAATTTTTTTCTTTAAATATAAATAAATAAAATAATACATAAATATGGGTGCTACTATATATACCTCTCACTCACATAAATGGTCAATTCATGAAGTACACAAATACTATTCCACTTAATACTCACCGGTGGTACGTATAGAATTTCCCATAAATATTTGTGTTTTTTGTTTTCAAACTGAATATCCTCCCGTCTATGTCCACAGACATATCCCTTAGTTATTCAGACCTATCCCTTAGTTATTCTATGATAAACACATTCATTATACTCTATCAAAGATTCATTCTACTCAATATTAAAGATATTGATTATGGGTGCGCATATTAACAGAAAAATCGAACCAAAACCAACTTAACCAAAATAACAAAACCATTTTAACCGTATAATTACTAAAAAAGGTGGTGTTGTTTCTATTTTTCATTAACCAAATACATATGGTTTGGTTATGGGTTTCATCCAAAACCGAACCACTAAAAATCGAACTGAAACAATAATATTAATAAATATTTTGAATATAATACAATATTAAATATATGGTATGTAATTATATTTGGATTTGAAAACTTAAAAGGTAATTATTTTGAATTAAATTGGATACCCAATCTTCTATGATATTAATAAGGTTATAAACATTGAACTGTTCACTTTTTTATAACAATGTACTTTATGTTTTTCAGTTTTTATAGAAAAATATTTTTTTATTTTTATTTCATTTTCAAGTATTATGATTAACCAATATTAACCTTTAACCATAACTGTTAACCGACAAAAACCGTTAACCAAAACCAATATTAACCGATACTTATTGACTACTAAAATGCATTAACCACTTATAAATGGATAGGTTATGCTTTACCCAAAAACCACACCAAAATTGTCACCGAGGCACACCCATAATAATGATTTACACAAAATACGTTAACAATTTCACCAACCAAATAAGTTGTCAAATCAAATCTAATTCCACTTCCACTTCCACATATTAAAATTTTGACCCCTTTTAATTTTGTTACTCCTAAAAACATATTTTTTTAACTAAAAAAGTACCAAACAAATATAGTTTGTTACTTTTATTTAAAAAAAAGTCCAAAAATATATCTTGGATTAGAATGAGAGGTTCCGAAAACTCACTTCTCGTTTATTATAAATGGCCCACGCTCAACTGAACACTGGTTCACAGGAAGTCTGGAATATCAAACCAAACAGATTCCCGCAAAAGGCTTTCATTGATTAATTATTGCACGTCATCTGTTTGCTTTTTTCCTTCAAAGAAAATGGGAACAGAAGGCTCTCCGCGTGATCCTCTTCTTCTTTCCATCAAAGAAGATCCTAACGGCTTCGCTTACATCAACAAAACATCTTCTTTACTAAAATCTACCAAATGGGTTCTAAAATCTGCAATGTGGTTAATCTTCATTTCCTGGGTTAGTTTCCTGTTCTTAGTTCCATCAGACTCGGTGAAGCAATTATACACGAAATTGGTTAAGGCTACTTCTGGAACTCTTTTTGGAACTACAGGTAAGCATCGAATTTTAGAGCTTCATCCCCTTTTTATCCATTTATATTTAGGAATTCACATAAAGTTTAATTTATCCCGAAAATTATAAATTACAGGAAGCATCTTTCTGATATACAGTGGTCCAGTACTTGTCATTGCGTTTCTTGCTATAATTTACCTCGGGATATATGGGGAAAACGAGGTTCAAGAGTAAGAAATTTTGTTAAACGTTTAGGGTACTTCAAATACGTTGATCAATGATCATCTTCTCTTCTAAGCTTGTATTATTGATTCTGTTCATGTAGGAAAAAAACAAAACACGCAAGTTTTCGCTTATGGACATTCCCGATTATCATCGATGGACCTTTCGGGGTTGTTACTGCAGCGGAATTGATTGGAATTCTGTTGTTTGCTGTGTATCTCATCTGGGCTATTATCGCTTATACTTTTCAGAACATCAGTCTATTGCCCTTGTTTGAGATCACCGATGCAGGCAAAAGGTACACACTACGCTTTATATCGGTATTTTTTATTTGGTTTTAAACATTGGTTCTTTCCTAAGGTAACTCCATTTTTTTATTCTCAAAGTTTTTGAATACTTTAATACTACTTTAAGTCTATGCTTTACCCATCCCAATAAAATTGGAAGAAACTGAATTAGAGATTGTAAGACATGGGAGCAAGTCCATGTCGACAAAACATGAAACTGAATTAGAGATTGTAAGACATGAGAGCAAGTCCATGTCGACAAAACATTGGAGGGCATTTATGTCTTTTACAAAGACCACAAGAGAGAGAGCAAGTCGTTGTCCCACCTTTTTGGATAGGACAAAAGATTGAAATTTTTGTCCGATGACATCATCATGAGTCATATTACCAATCTAATACATGTCAAACGGAGTACAAGATGGTTTTGTCAGTCGTTTCCATGGCTTTAATTTTATTTACTTTGTATATTTTTATTTCGTAGCTTGTTAAATTTCATCACTTACATTTTTTTGTTTTTGATTTTATAAACTTTCAGGAATCTTATATTGCTAGAACTAACAGGACTACGCCTAGGGTTTATCGGATTGATTTGCATGGCATTTTTATTTCTACCAGTTGCAAGGGGATCGATTCTTCTACGACTTATAGATATCCCTTTTGAGCATGCAGCTCGATATCATGTATGGTTGGGGCATCTTACAATGATACTCTTCACTCTTCATGGTCTGTTTTTTGTGATTCCATGGGCAATCGATGGTCGACTCATAAAAGAAGTGAGTAGTTCTCTACTTCTCTAATGAATTAATCATTTTCTTTAAAAAAAAAACTCAATAAAAAGAAAACATTAATTAACAAAACGGTAATCTTGTAATTTTCGCAGCTTACAGCTTGGCAAAATGTTGGTGTTGCTAATCTTCCGGGAGTCATTAGTCTAGTAGCGGGTCTTTTTATGTGGGTGACATCACTTCCACCTGTCAGAAGGAGAATAAACTTTGAATTATTTTTCTACACGCATCAGTTATACGTTGTTTTTGTTGTCTTTTTGGCAATGCATGTTGGCGATTTCATTTTCAGTATAGCTGCTGCAGGAATCTTTCTCTTTATGCTCGATCGGTTTCTTAGATTTTTTCAGTCGCGAAAAACCGTGGACATATTATCTGCTAAATGTCTTCCATCCGGAACTGTGGAACTTGTTATTTCAAAACCAGAAGGTATTGCTATTTTACACTGTTAAATTTTTCTTAGATTTTATCTTACTTGTAATCTATTGGAATATATAGGGTTACAATACAATGCCCTTAGTTGGGTTTTTCTTCAAGTTCGAGAGTTATCATGGTTACAATGGCATCCTTTCAGTGTCTCATCTAGTCCTCTAGATGGAAAACATCATATTGCTGTTCTCATAAAAGTTCTTGGAGATTGGACAGAGAAACTAAGGGGGCATATCTCAAGTGTTCCCGAGGAGGAGCAGGGTGAAACCGATGACCTCCTTCACTCAAATTTCACACTAAAGGCATCCATAGAGGGACCTTACGGGCACGAGTCACCATACCACTTAACGTACATGCTCTACTCCATATACAAAGGATATAATATAATAGAACAAGTTGTACTGTGTTTGACATGCATTAGACTGGGACTGTGACGGTGACTGATGTCAATAAGACAAAAGTTGCAATTTTTGTCCACCTAAAACGGTGAAACAAGGTGTTGTCGGTGGGTGGATTCGACGTAAACAGCCTCCTCATCCTCATATAAAAAAGGAAAACTCTATAAAAGTCCTTATATTTTGGATCATAATCGATTTAGTACTTATATATTTTTTTATTCAATTAAGTCCTAAAAACCGGCAGTTATATTCATTTTTGACCCTTCTACCTGGTCAACAGGTCATCCACTTTCAAAATTTATACTTTTGTCCCGGATATTAAATTTTATTATAAATTTGGTCCAAAATTTACACTTTTGGCCCAGATATTAAATAAAATTTTTATATAAAAAAAGAAGGTTTTTATGTGAAAATATGTTTTTTTTTGTATAAATATGATTTTATAAAGAAAAAAAACATATTCGAAACAAAATTTGGAAAAAAAAACAATGTAAATAAACTAAATTTAGGATGAATTTGTAACAAAATTTTGAAATTTGGGCCAAAAGTGTAAATTTTGGACCAGATTTATAATAAAATATAAATTCTGGGCCAAAAGTGTAACTTTTAAAAGTGGATGACCTGTTGGCCGGTTTAAAGGTACAAAATGAATACAATTGTCGGTTTTTAGGACTTAATTGAAGAAAAAAAGTATAATGACTAAATCGATTATGATGCCGACATCTTGGAGTTTTCCCAAAAAATAACCCTGGAATGATTGTCGGGTCCTATCTTGTCCTGTGTAACAAAAATAGCCATATTTCATAAAATGAACATGGTATACAAGTCGCTCACTTGTAAAGCAAATACTTTATGTTAATTTATTGATCGATGGTTGTTCTTATTGTTAGGTATGAAAACCTTATTTTAGTTGCGGGTGGCATTGGAATTTCACCATTCGTGGCTATCATGAGTGATATTCTTAATCGAATTCGGGACTCTAAACCTTGTTTGCCTAGAAATGTGTTAATAGTTTGGGCAGTCAAAAAGTCCGATGAGCTTCCGCTTCTGCATTCACTTGACATGAACTCACTCTGCCCGTATTTCTACAATACACTAAATCTTGAGATTCAAACCTACGTCACTAGGGAATCAGAACCCCCATTGGTACGTTTGTGGGCCCCACTTTGTTAACTAGTACAAGATGTAACAAGTTATATTGGACTTGGACCGGGATTGATGTCAATGGGACAAAACTATCAAGTATTTGTCCCACCCAAGAAGGTGGGACTCGGACTATGTCTTGATCTATTATCTGTGAAAAGGACTTAAATGCCCTCCTCGTTCTCATAATCGAAGATAACCCTAAAAAGCTTGTCCAGTCTTATCATGTCAAGTTTAAGAAACACAAACTTTAAACTTTGATAATGCTTGATATGGCGAGATCAAAGAAGGAATGGAATGGAACATTCTATTGGAATGCAAAAAAAGTTATTTGTTTTGTGTGATGGAATGGAATTCTTCCATTTTGTTAATTTTATTTCTTAACAAGGGCTGTTTTTTTTCATTCCATGGAAAGAAAAAACATAATATATTTATAACCCATTTTGTTTATAAAATTTTGTAATAGACAGATCAAATCTTTTTTTTTTTTAAATCATGATTTTAATTGAATTATATTTTCATTTTCTAAAAGGAACTAGAAAATATATTTTTATTATAATCTTTTTCGGTTTAAAGCTTTTATTATGTTTGATTATTTAGTTTTGTAAAGATACACATACAATTAAATAATATATAGAATCATGTCAAAACTATACCTTATATTTACGTATAATATAAAAAAAAATCATATGAAAATGCATTGTCTGCCTTAAGGCTAACCACACTTGATCATGCAATGTAATGACTCATTCCATTAACTTCCTTATAACATTACTTTGGCTATTTTTTTCCTTCTTCATTCCATTCTAAAGTTTGAACTTTGACTACAGGAAGAGGGTAAGGTAGCCGAGTATGTGAGCTCTTCTGTCTACCCTACTCCTAGCCATGGTGGCATGTCTAGTTTGGTTGGAACCGGAAGCATAATATGGTCTGGAGCTTACGTGGTGGTCTCCACACTCGGTTTCATTGTTCTCCTCGCGATGTTAGACATCTTTTACATCAATCCTTACAAGATCTCATATTGGTGGTACAAAGGGCTTCTATTCATCATATGCATGTGTGCTAGTATTATTCTCTTTGGAGGCTTTGTGATCGGTTTATGGCATCTTTGGGATAAAAAAACCTCAGTCGAGAAGAACAAAAACACCGAAGATGAAAAGAAAATTGGTGGCTTACAATATTACGAGTCTAATGCGGACAAGAATTCTTCACAAGGCGATTTTGTCAATAGCATAAAATATGGTCAAAGACCGGACTTCAAAGGTACTTTTCTATGTAATATTACCCTAGCCTAGCCTAGACTCTAGGGCATACATGACATGCCGTAGGGCGCTCACTTAGTGGGCCCTACTGTATATGTGAGTGCTGAAGAATAACCCTTTGGAAGAGAGATTATACTATATCTTAGTCACTTATAATAAATTTGTTGACATTCTTGTTGTAAATACAGAAATATTTGGAAGCATGGCTGAGCGATGGGGGAATGTTGATATAGGGGTGATGGTGTGTGGGCCTACAGCACTTCAAACAAGCATTGCTAAAGAGTGTAGATCTAAGAATTTTGGGCGGATTAGTGGTGAGCCGATCTTCCATTTCAACAGCCATAGTTTCGATCTCTAAGTATTGTAAGAAGATGGTTGCTATATATATGGCTTAATTTGGACTCGGCCTTTGAGTAATGCAAATATTACCAAATTTCAATGTTATATACAACTTCCAATGCATTGGAGATACGAAGATTTGTAACTTTATGCTCGGAACATGGCCATGTATGTATATATAAAATGAAGAAAGTATAAAATTAGGAAGACTAGGATCCATAGTAGTATAGTGAGACTAGGATCCATACTAGTAATAGTGTAAGTTGAGTTAAGGTGCTTTCATGTTATGCCATTATAATGTAAATTTTGATGTCAATATATGAATATGTTATTATACTTGCCTTTTTATCCTTAACACATGTGTAAAGATTGCGTTCCTTTATGTTTACCCTGTCTGTAAAGATGTGTGAATCCATAAGTGAGGTCTTAAGTTAAGCATGAACATCCTCTTCCTTGGTCTTAAGTTTAAAATACAATGTTTACTAACAATGGCAAAACTAGATCTAAAATGCAATGTCCCAAATAGTCTATAAAGTTTGAGTAACTTGAGCTAATGCATGATTAAGATATAGGAAACTAACAAAGTTTCCATAAAAATATCAAACGTATTTAGGTCTGACAATTCTCGACACGACACGAAATAAACGGGTTTGGGTTGAGTTTTTCAACCCGCCAACCTGTCAACCCATTTATTAAACATGTCATATATGAGTTTCTCAAAAAATATACAGGTTGACCCGTCAACCCGTTTAGAATTTTAAAAAATTATATATATTTTAAATGTATTAAGGGTGTGTTCGGCACGTAGCGTTTGGGAGCGTTTGAGAGCTTCTAGCTTCTAGCGTTTGACAAAACGTTCCGTTTTGAACAGAAAGCCTCGTTCGGCACTACAAACTTCTAGCGTTTAGTTTAAACAAAACGCTCCAAATCCTAATGCTACTTCGTGTAGCGTTTAACAAAATGCTACAAGCTACAAGCTACCCGCTACAAGCCACCCGCTACCAGCTAATTTTGCCGAACACGCCCTAAGTATTATACACTATAGAGTTTATACTTATACTAGGATAGGATATCCGATACCATTGACCATTTGACCTGTGGGTAACCATTTACTTATTTGCATTGCAACACGTTTGACGTTTACCCTAAATAATCTTAGTATCTCAAAAACAAAATCGAATAACCGGTCTCCCCTCTGTGATGAACGACATAACGAACTTACGAAGAACGGCGACATGAATGATTAAATCATTATTGAACGACGTCGACGCCTGCGATTGAATTTATTTATGTTTGTATTAATGTTTTAGTTTGAACATGTTTCCATGAATGCTTTTAATTTTCATTTGGATGTTTAAAACTTAAGTTTCTAAAATTTGGATATGTTTGCATCAAGAATTTTTTAATATTTAATTATCAGTTTTGTTTATGGAATCTGACCCACGAACACACGAACACAAATTTGACCCACGAACCCACGAACCCAAATCTGACCCACGAACCCGTCAACCTATGAACCCGTATAAATAATTGGGTTGACAGGTCATATATGAGTTTATGTTCCAAACCCACCAACCTGTGACCTGTATAGTTAAATGGGTCGTGTTCGGGTTGGTATATTTTGACCCGCCAACCCGAACACGACACGATTGTCATGCCTAAACGTATTATTTACATGTTCTTAATGCGCACGTAATATGATCATGAATCGTGATTATTGTTGAAGGTGGGATAGTATTAATGCGAGACGTTTGTCAAACCTTTTATGAGTTAGTTGCTTGGGCCTTGGAGTATTCAGGCTTTTGGGGCTTTTTATTTGATATATTTATGTAATAGTTAATGGGTTAGGTTCAAATACGTCGACACGCAATTAATGATGTGTCTATATTTCGTCCACTTTATATTTTTTGTACATCTAGAGACTAGAGTCGGATCTCAATATTGAAAAAAATATATATGATAGCTTAGAAAAAAAAATACTAGAAAAACCTAATAAATGTTTAATACGATCCGGTACTTATGAGTTGTGGTGTACACATGAACATAAAGGGGTGTGAAAAAACCGATCAAAACTAAACATAAATTAGAAATCAAAGCCCAAAAATCAAACTATTCCTAAAATTGTCAGTTTGGAGTATTGCTCTTTAGAAACTAAAAATTTCACTTCGGTTTCGTTTTAAGCAAAAAATCAAAAAAGCCAAACATAACCCCTTTTTCTGTACGAAAATATGAACTCAACACATTCCCAACATCATCATTTCATTCGATATAAAACAAATGGTTTACATCAAACAAATACACTAAAAACCTCACTTCATAAAATCACTCTCACTCATATGTACAAAAAACAAGAAAGAACAAGAGATCAGTCTTAATGGAAGACCAAACTCTAATAACGACCAGAAACCCTAATTCAAGTTTTAGAGAGCTTCTATAAAAGAACTATGTGAGTGATAAAATGAATTGAATTGATCAACAAGTCTGATAAGGAAGACTAAATACATCGGGTCAGGAGCTCCATGGATCACCCAAAGGTCCGCATACAACTCGGACACGTGCAATTGAACTTACCAAACAGACCTCAACAAATTCCAAACAACACAAAAATTATCCAAAAAATAATAAATTAATGTTTAAGTTTGATAAAGATTTTAAATGGTATTTTTCAACACGCCGGTTCAAACTAAACATTAATTTGAGTGTACAAAAAAAATTACGTTTTCTTAAAAACATCAATCAAACAAAGTCGATTAGAAATATAGTCATGTTGACTACTTCCAAGAGCCTTAGTCAAGATATTTGCATTCTGATTCAAAGAACCAATTTTATTAACTTTTAAAACTCCATTTTCATTTTTTTCTCTAACAAAATGAAGATCAAACTTCAAAATGTTTAGTTTTTTCGTGAAAAACAGGATTCAAATCCATTTTAATGGCTGGCTCATTATCACAAAAAATATTAAAAGGTGAAAGGTTCTTAATACCTAAATCAAACAGTAATTTTAAAATCCATATTACTTCACAAGTAATACTACCTAAAGCTCTATACTCAGACTCAGTGGAGGAGCGAGAAACATTACTTTGTTTCTTACTTTTCCATGAGACAAGAGAAGCAGCTAAGTAAATAAGGTATCCAGTAACAGATATACGACTAAACAAACATTTTGCCCAGTCAGCAACCACGAACCCAACAAGATCAAATGAATTACCTTTAGTCAAATGAATGCCTTTACCAGGACTATTCTTTACATATATGAAAAGTCTAAAAGCATTATCAACATGTGACTTATCAGGTTTATGCATATACTGACTTAAAATTTGGACAACATAAGAAATATCAGGACGAGTAATAGTTAAGTAATTTAGCTTACCTATCAATTTTTGAAACTGGCTTATATTTACCAAATAATCAGAACTATCTAAATCACACTCCCTTTTAATAACCAAATTAGCTTCTAGGGGAGTTTTCACAGGCTTGCAAACAAGCATACCAAACTCATGTAGTAAATCCGTACAATATTTTTTGGTTAAGACAAATACCAATTTCATTTTTAATAACTTCTATTCCCAAAAAATATTTCAGTTCTCCTTAGATCTTTAATCAAAAATTGAGATTTAAGTAAACTTTTAACATTCTCCAACTCAATACTGCAATTTGTAGTAATAATAATAATATCATCCATATATACCGGAGCACAACAATAGTATTTTTAAATTTCTAACAAACAAAGAGTAATTGTTTATACTTTGCTTAAAACCAAAGTTTGAAAGTGAGGAACGCAATTTTTCATTCCACTTTCTAGGGGATTGTTTAAGCCTATAGAGAGACTTTATCAGTTTGCAAACTCTAATATAATCTTTGGAATGATACCCTTCAGGTAAATTCATCTAAACACTTTCAGATAGGTCACCATATAAAAATGAATTATTTATGTCAAGCCGAAATAGAGACCAAGAATTATGAACAACCAAGGATATAACAATACGTACGGTAATTATTTTGGCTACAAGAGAAAAGGTCTCCTCATATTCAATTCCTTCCCTCTGGTTATACCCTTTAGCCACAAGTTTGGCTTTATATCTTTCTATTTCTATGCTGGACTTATATTTGATTTTGTAAATCCAACGACAACTTATAGCTTTTCTAACTTTGGGAAGATTAGTGATCTCCCAAGTGTTATTCCTATAAAGGGCTTCCATTTCTTCATTCATAGCCTTCACCGTATTAGGGTCTAAGGCAGCTTCATTAAAAGTTTTAGGTTCAATTGACTTATTCAGAGTAGACACAAAATACATATTTTCACCATTAAGAGAAGAATAATTAACAAATCTCTCAATACCATACTTGTGTCACAACATAATCACTGAACCTAACTGGCATATGAACATCACAACTTGATCTAGTGACCCTAGTAGACTAACCCTCAGAAGGATTAGGATTAATTTGACCACTTTCCTCAGTCAAAATAGAAGAAATAGGAAATATCCCATTAGAGGGAGGCACATATGCATCGCTAGCCTGGTTGCTGACATCAAACATGCTAGTCTCATCCGAATTATGGACTGCATCAACACCATCCCTATAATGGACACCTCTCAAGTCATCTAAACTAGTAGTATCATGTAAAGAACTAGACAGTAATGACTCATCATAGGAAAAACAATCACAAGCATTCATATTATCATTGGGTTTATCAGTCATAGAATATGTTAATGACTTAAGCTTGAAAGGAAACACAGTTTCATAAAACTTTATATCTTTGGAAACAAAAACAAGATTTGTATCAAGGCTAAGAACTTCATAACCTTTTTTTATCAGAAGAGTAACCAAGAAAATGCATTTGTAACATCCCAAAATTCAAGACCAAAAATTTCATTTTTAATATAAGAAAACACTTAATAACTTTGTCCCAAACATTGAAAACATTTCATTTAAAACACATATTAGAGTCTAATCCCAAAGATCACATAATGCGGAATAATATGGGTGAATGCGATGCGATCGTCCCGAGCTCCTTATGTAACGCCCCGATTCTCGAATATCAATTTATGGTGATAAATTCTCATGGATTCAAGGTCTACTCGAAGAGTTGGTTGCCTGACTCATCGAGTAGCAGCGGGTTAGGCCGCGCACTTAAGTAACCTACTCGCCGAGTCCAAGAAGGGACTCGACGAGTAGGAGCTGGAGGAAGAAACCCTAATTTTCGGGGTTTTGCACCCTTATTAAAGGATCATTTTCCCCTTAGCCTCCCTTTACTGCCTCTTGAGAGTCCAGAAACCCTAATTCGTGTGTGTTAGAACAGCATGCTAGTAATAATATAGGG